TTTATACTCGAACTTTTTGCAGTTTATATCTGCTTTTTGAACTTTTTTAAAGTAGAACTAAAGTGAGTCTGAGATGAATGATTGACCCTGATTGCATTATGTTCCCGAAGAGAAAACCGGGTAAAACGTGATGAAATCAGCGTCTCAGCTATCTTAAGAAACATTCCTTTTAAGAGACGCTTTTATATCAAAAGTTGTTGCTTTTCATTAGCTCTTTGAATCCCGGTTTTTTATTTTTTTGAATTGTACATAATTTTGTTCATTCATGTTCAAAAATTATAAGAAATGTAAAAAAGGTTGATATATATGGATACTGAAGGTACATTTATTGACTTATGTCATCGCATTTTGATCGAACGATTTCGTTTGCACTTAGCTAAAAAATATCGAGATATCTTTCTTCAAGTAGCGCAAACTGAAATCAGGACTGCAACAACATATCGTCAATTCAAAATGAAAAAGAAAAACGGTTTAAAACGAGCACAGGCCCACCATAGATCTACATATCAAACTATCAATGAAGAAGTTGCGTACCATGCAAAAATTGAATTGATTCCAGAATCAGTTTTGCGTTCGGGTATTAAAAATCGTAATGTTTGGACTGATATGTTTATGTTTGTTTTTACTGAAGAACCCAAATTCCAACATTACTTTACACACAAAAACCCTATTCAAAGATCTAACGTCAATGTTCTGCCGTCGTTACTTAAATATCAACAAAGTCACTATCATTGAGGGCTGCACGATTACAATTACAAAATGTAAAGTTCATACATTGCTATTATCTGTAGGATTCAGAATTCTGGAATTCTGAACTTTACATGTATGTAAAGTTGCATATTCACGCTCATCCTCACACTCACCCCCACACTCACCCCTAGAATTAAGAATTTTAAAGTAAAGTTCAACTTTACATACATGTAAAGTTCAGAATTCTAGAATTCTTAATTCTACAGATAATAACAATGTTTGAACTTTACATTTTGTAATTGTAATCGCGCACGTCTGCTATCATTAACCGATACGACTGACAATACTTTTCTATCATCTTCGTGCTGGAATTTGGATTCTTATTAAAAACAAACATAAACATATCAGTCCAAATATTACGAATTTTAACACCAGAACGCAAAAATGATTTTGGAATCAATTCAGCTTTTGCATGGTGCGGAAATTCTTCATTGATAGTTTGATATTAGATTTATGGTGGATCTCTGCTCGTTTAAACCGTTTTTCTTTTTCGTTTTGAATTGACGATATGTTGTTGCAGTCCTGATTTCAGTTTGCGTTACTTAAAGTAAGAAATCAGACTATCCGTGCCCAGATCTATCGATTTGATCCTTCGAATTAGTCGAGGCAAGTGATCCAGTTTCGTTTGTGTTTGTAATTGCCGTACACAAGTGAGATGTCAGTGGATATCACTTTCTCTCGAACCTAGTGTGAGATAAACTCACTCTCATTCCAGCTTATCTTCAAGCAATTAACTTTGACGAAACAAAAACGAAACTACTATAGTCATTGTTATCACATCAAAAACTCTTCCTTTATTGGAATTGCTACCATTTAAACGGCGTTTCAGTCGTTTGAAACTGTCTTGGGAGCCTCCGAACATAAACTATATTTTGATATTAAAAGCATTCCCGTTACAGAATTTGAGCGTAATGTTCAGTTTTTTTCGGAAACAAAAGCTACCGTTTTTATTCACTCTACGTGCTAACAGATCACATTAAAAAAAAATATTGTTCATAAAACTCATTACTCGTCGGCAATGAACGACCGCCTTTCCAAAGTTCTTGCCTTGAAAGATACCAACGAGCGCTTCAGCAGCTTGTTCCAATCCTTTCGTCACATCTTCCTTGACCTTGAGTTCGCCGCTTGCAATCCATTTCGGAACTTTTGAGTAGAAATCTTTTTGAAAATCCGGATCAGTCGCTTTGCCCAAGATGATAAAACCTTGAAGTTTGAGTCGTTTGGCGACAATGTGCATGAGATTTCGAATACCATGAGCACCAGGTTCATTGTATTGTGAGATCATACCACATTCAATGAATCGAGCATGATTGGCTGCTGCATCGAGGGCTGCTTCAAGTTGATCACCACCCACATTGTCGAAATAGATGTTGAGTGCATTAAATTTGGCGAGTTCTGCTTTCGGATCAGCTGTCTTGTAGTTGAAAGCATGATCGAAGGAAAGTTCTTTTTCCAGCCATTTAACTTTATCGTCCGACCCAGCTGACCCGATCACTTTCAGACCTTCACGCTTAGCTGAAAAAAACGTAGAAATTGATGAACATGAACGTTTCTTTTAGAGTGGCTCTAAACTCTGATCGGATGTATAACTTGATTTTTATAAATTATTTCAGTATTTTGGTGATCGAATCCTAGGCATTGGGAAGGATCTTCGTTGTAGCGCCAATTTAAACTTTCAAAAATCCTCTTAAACGGTGCACGGTTTTTGACTTTAAAAATAAATTTGAATAAGCCAATAGGCTCAGTTTTTCGTAGATTTTCAGAATATACATTTGAAAAGATGTTCTCGATAACAGGGATTTCTACTAGTGGCCAAAATTTATACTCAAAATAAATTAGTGAAAAGATTTTCGTTGAAGTTCCGAATTTTGATCCTGTTTGTTCTAGAATAGCTGAATACAGCTAAAAAAAAATGAAAATTGTCCGATTGAATTGGAACGAAAGAGTTACTTCTACTCTTTTTTTTTTTATAAGTTTTTGCCGCTTATGTATTTGCTTTTAAATTGAAGTTTCATTCGAGAGCACAAATCTCGGAAAATCGGTATCAAGTGACAGTAAAAAGTTGCGTAAAAATAGAAATATTCGAAACTTCAAGAATTTTGTTGATGATTCTGGAACAGCAAGAAAGAAGAAAAATTTGTCACTAATTTCTTTTGCTAAACTTCTGCCACTAATAGAAATCCCGGTTATTGAAAAACCCTTTCTAGAAAACCTTTCCAAACTCGTTTTCTGAAAACGCACGAAAATCTGAGACGAACGACGAATTGGAATTTATTTCTAGTCCAGATCGGTGGAAATAATCAAAATCAACTTTTGAGTGGCTTCTGAGTGCTGAATTTGGGGCTTAAACAAAAAGGATTTGTACAACAGAGTCTGGAGTGAGTCTCAAATTTCAAAGTTCTAGATGAACGGTTGAGTTATAAAGGCGGTTATGTAATCTAAAATGGTCATATGTCTAGCCCTGCCTGAGTTTTCGAAACATTGATTGTTAAAAGGTTCCGCTAGCATCCTGAAATAGCAATAGGCAGAGAAATGATTTCTACGTTGATTTTTCAAATTGACAAAAGTGTGAATAATTGATTGACTCACCCAGTTGTCCAACAATTTGACCGACAGCACCTGAGGCTCCAGTGATACACACGCGAGGTATTTTCAAATTGACTGATATTAATGTATATGTTGGAGAATTTGCAGCGTTATGAAGAACGTGCGAAAGTTTGAACTTCTAGTTCTATTATTTTCAGAATCATTGGAATTTAAGAGATCTCAAACTGTCAGAGAACGAAGATTATAACTGACTCATTATACATTTTTGAAAGTGTCCAAATTAGCATCTGTGCTAAATAAACACGTAGAAATATTCTATAGATACAATATTGGAATTTTATTTGCCTAAACAAACGGATCATATAAGATATTTAAAGAAAATGATTGTGGCTGAAGGCAACGAACCAAAAGTTTTTTAAAATATTCCTTTTACTACTTGCTCTGGTCGAGTAACTGAAAGGGTCAAAGTTTTATTTATAGAATCTTCTTATGTGTTTATTTGTAACTGACTGGTGAAAATGATCGATACCAAGGAGAATAACCAGTCATTTCCGGCTTTGACTTCATGGAGAATGCGAGATTCTTTAGGTCTTCAGAAAGGATAAAGTTTCAGGAATTGATAATTACACGTTAAATGTAACTCTCCAAGCTCTAAAACATACATAGAAATTTGGTGATACTTTACCGTCGCACTTGCATCACTTTCTCAGTAACTCAATCTAAAAGATTATTTAACGCATGACCTCCTTTATTAGGAGATTACTCGGTTTCCAGATTTCGTACTCTATCATATACTCTATAATCGTACTTCTGTTATTAAAGGTTCGTAATCCCATACGAATGCTAAAATAGCCGTTGGCACAATTAAATATACAATACGAAATGTGTCATTATTGTTTGTTTTGGAATCACCATAGCCATGGCAATAAATTAAAAACATCGTGAAATACGTTGTTATTAAAAAGAACCATTTTAGAAGTGTATTGTATAATGATACATAATGTGTAAATAAATCCAAATAGCGACACGTAAATTTAATTGCGTATAGTATAATACTTTTCCCTGATATACCTACAGTAGAGACAGTAGAGAAGAATTTTTTAAAAAGTATTTCTTATGGATTACATACAACATACCTGCAGATGAACATCGTTTTAATATTCGAAATAATAATAGTGAAACTGCTGCTATATGAAACAGATCTCCAAGTAATCTGTATAGATTCATGTTTTTTTTGCTTTCTAGATCAGTTGTGTTTCGTATTAAAGGAAATAGTTGTTCTTTTTCGTCTTTTTCTTTCTTTGAACATGGGAAAGAACATGGGAAAATTCCTGAAAGGAGCTATCAAAAGAAAATATGACTTGTCATCAAGAGTAATAGGATGGGAAAAAAAAGTAAGAAATGCGTCGTCTCTCAACTATGTTTATCACTTGATCGTAAAAACATTATCGAGGGAAAGATTAAGAATGTATAATGATTTTTTATTGCAAATGAAAAGGACAAGAAAAATTAACTAACTTTAATTTCTGTTCCTATTCATTTTACATGCGTAAGGAGTTAGACAGGCTCACAGAGTATATCAGACCAAAATTAATTGACGATCATGGATAGTACGAATAAAAAACAAACTGCTGGCGTGTTATCTCCAATGGAGATACTTGTACTGAACTTGAGAAGTAGAACAGCTACGCCAAACAAAGATTCTTTCATAGCGATCACAGAGGCCTGGATTGATTCTACTATCCAAATGCCGATATTTCTATTATTGAACGTTTAGATCGAGAAGAAGATGGATGTATGCTTTATTTTCGGGAGTATCTAACTATAAAAGTTTTTTGACTTTTGTGAGACACTTAATTTCAAGCAATTAGTGCCAGAGCCAACAAGAATAAGTAGTGACAGCCAAACAAAAACAGCGCTCGACCTTGTATTCATCAGTTCTACCACTATAATTAATAAAATAATAGTAGAGGATCGTTTGTGTACGAATTGCGATCATAAAATTGTTAACATTTTAATTGCTTCAAATATCAACCGTCCTTTACCATTTTCACGAAAAATTTACAATTATAATGCTACAGACTGGAATTACTTTCGTTATACTCTAGTACAAATTCTTAACATAGTTGCTATTCTTTTTTATAATTCTACTTGTATAAACCAAGAGAGTACTGACATTGGAATCTAGCATATTAAAGGCCGTTGATACATGCGTTCCGTCAAAAATTATTCGACTTTACCCTCACATGTGCACTTACAGTATAACCTAGTGAAACTTCTTGTACCCAAGATCTTGGATGCTTGAACCTTTCATTCAAGGTCTTGAAACATCCTGGCTTACTCCACTCAAGATCTTGGGAACAGAAATTTCAAGATCATGAGTGACAAATTTTCTTTACATTTTGTTTTTATTTGTGACAGTCATAGCCATCGCATAAACGACCATATAGAGTCATAGATTCTTCCTTAAACAACTATGATCAAAAATGAAAAAAGTTCGAAATTGTTCTAAATGTGAAAATATTCGCACTTATATTTACCCAAGAATGTAAAACAAAATGATGACTAAGAATTTCCAAGATCCTGGTGCTCTTTTCATTATTTTCTTTACGTTCTCTTCTTTTCCATAACGTTTTGATTAATTGTATAAGTCTTCATTCTGAAAATTCTTATTTTCAAATCACTATTTTTTCTATATTGATGTTAAACAAGAAACATAAATCAAAATATTTAGTAACGTGTTTTTTTTTGTGTTCAGTAACAATTTTTCTCCTCAATTGTACCTTGTTTTTTTATGGATTCAGATGTAATAATATCTGGGTAGGGGGGGTAACCCCCCCCAATAATCGAAATTTGTTCTTTTTTCACAAAATTCACAATTTAGTACGCTGTTATTTTTTCGTTCCTGTCTATTTTTCTGATGTCAAGTAAATGTCATCGATGTTTTCTTCTTCTATGATGTATATAGCAAAAAAGTTTTATACCGAAAATTCATAAAAACTTTATGGACCCCCTCCCCAATTTTAGAAGCCTCGCGCCAGCCCTGAGCATGCACAAAATGCAAACAATAAATTTTAGTGGATATATTTCATAATCATTAAATGCATACGTATATTTATTAATATGAACACATTATTTATGGTGCTATGCTATCGTACAAAGAATAACTCTAGATTTTGAATCTGTCAAAATTCTGCTACCATTTTTGAATTCTCAGCAGAGTTTTGTTTCTCGAAGTGAGTAGTGTATGATAGAGTTAATTGTATAATGCGGAGCTTAGAATTTTGGCATAGTTCTGAAGTGTTTTTTGATTTCTTGATAGACCTCTGTTGTAACAGCATTATTTTTATCCGGCAGTAGGTGTGTATGGAAAAATTATGTTGCAGTCTCGATTACGCTTGATCTATTATCTAATGCAATCTAGACGATAATAACGATTTATCGTTATTATCCCTACATTGAAGTTCAAACATACGGTAGAATTTTGCTTTCTCTTTTGAATCTCTTTCGGCAAGTATAGGCGAACTAGTAATTATATCTACATTTTCTCCTTTTAAAGCATGAATTACAGCTAATACACTTATAATCGTTGATTTACCTTCACCAGTTTCGACTTGTAGTAATTTTCCTTTATCACTCTTTGGATTTAAAGCAACTAAACAGCTTAAAATTTGAGTATCGGTGAGATGAAATCCGGTGTCTAAATAATTTGCTTGCTTTATTACTGCGAGACTTTCTATGATTAAATTTTCTGTATTCGTACAAGTATGAGCGTTCATTTTGACTATATTGGCCCACAGTCGAATTTGATCTTGTGTCCATTGAGCGATATAAATTGACCAATGTTGACTCTTTGGATAGGACTTATACTGCTCACTATTATCGAAAACTTGAGACGTCAAATTAGAACTTTTGATTTTTTCTATTAAATTTAGTAAATTTGTCCCATTGAAACTTGTCAAGTCTTTATTATAAGAATTGCTATTTTCTAATTCTTTGATTAACTCTGTTGCATTTCTTACTTGAGTTATCTCGGAAAAATTAGTTTCAATTGCGATTCTATTGACTTCTCGAAGCCAACTCTCTGTCGGTTCCGCTAGAGCTAGGAAAACTTTTTCTTGATTTTTTTCGCGTAGGAGGAATTTTATATTGTGATAATATTTCCAGAACATAAACAAAATTTCGCTCTTTTACGTTCTCTACGCTATTAGAGGCGACTACTAGATTGCTAAAAATAACATTTAATTGTTCAAAAGTCCAACTTTTATCTAATAAATTATCAAGGTGAACAGCTAATTTCCTTCGGTCAGCTTTTTTAATTTGATTGCCCAAAAATTTTATCTCTAACGATCTTTTCAATATTGATATTGTTGTTTCTTTAACATAGATATCAGATATTTTGATATTATTTTTTTCAGCAAAATTCAAAATATTTTCAAATTCTCTTAAACTATCTATATTTTTTATGGCATCGAAAAGTTTATGGCTAACATCCAAGCCAAATTTCGAAATCATATTCGATGCTAGATTATCAATATATTTACTATTAACGTCTTTTTTGTTCAATAAGCGTTGATAGATCGATTTTCCTAGACACTTTTTCTGCAAATCTAGACATGGATTCCTACTATACGATAAGACATGGCGAGCATCTTCAAAGTCAATTGTGTCTAAAATTTTTATTGCGTCATAACATTGATTAAACGGCATGGTGTTATTTAACAGAATACGATGTAATAATTTCAGTAAAATGTCACTTTGGCCTTTCTCAAATTCTTCATGTTCTTCAATTTTAAGCCAAGTTTTATAAAAATGAAAACGTTCTTCTTCGTTTACTTTGAATCTTTCGATTAAATCAAAAATTAACAGTTCTCTATTCCACTGATTTTGTGATTTACCACGAATTTTTGTAAAATCGACATATTTTAATGCGGCAATAGTTTCAAACAAATCTAAATCTCGATCAACTTTAGTACCAATATCTTTTTCTAGATTATCAATAATATTATTACACCATTCTTGGAATATTACAGATTCATAACCATTCTCATATGCTGCTCTTAAACCTCGAAATGACCAACTCCGAATTATTTCATCATTACTGAAAAGTCTACTTTCTAAAGGTTCTAATTTTGAAATTCCTATAATTTCAAATGCTAGAACAATACATACAAGAATGTCAAAATGGAATTCAATATATTTCTCATTCTGATCTAAAATGTCGATGAAAACGTTTAATACATTAGGAAAATTATTTGTTTGACATTGTTTTACTTTAATAACTTCCTGATATACATTTAGAATAATTTTATTTATTTTTTTAGATAAAATGGCTTTCTCTAAACTATCGACTATCGATGGTTGTGAAGAATAATAACTCGGATTTTGTATTAATACTAAGGCAAAAATATCGATTAAATCTTGTTCGAAATTTTGATTATTATTATTCGTTGGAATTTTAATCGAAAGTATTTTTTCAATTAATTGATTAGACAATTTTAGACCTTCGTGTAACTCTTGTCGGATTCTATTTAGAAATTCACCAAGACTCGTTGGATTCATATTCATCATACGATCAATTTGTGAAAATAAATGTATTCTATCTTGTAATTCTTTTGAAATCAATTGATTTTTAGAAATTAATTCTAATATATGTATTGATCCTTCTTTTTCATCTTGAGCGGCGGCAACAATTGATATAATTTCATTCGTAAATTTTCTTCCTGTTTTAGCAGTTTCAGCTAGTAACCGACAACATGATGATATTATCGTTGATGAGATACTACTAGCCAGTAAAACACCAATACTGTCTAACAATTTATCTGGAATATCTTCCTTATTCGAACATTTCAGTAAAGTTTCCAATGCTTTACTATTTAACTCTGGACAATTATCAATTATGAAATTTATTTGATCGAAATTTTGCTCAAGTAATTTAGGCTTATCAAACTCAATTAATCTATCTAGTAATTGTTCGTTCGAATTATACTTTAGATTACAGAGTTTAAGTATACATTTCTGATTCTCGTCTAATTTAGAAACATCTAATATCATGTTAATTTCCTCTTTGATATTTCCATCACAAATGACCTTTGTTGCTAGACTTAATAGAGCTTCTATGCTTTTCTTTTCAAGTTTTACTTTGTGAAGTGAAATAAGTGTTTTAAATCCACTCAGACTTGTATGAATAACATTTTGATTACCTTTTTTAAGAGTATAAATTAAAGCTGTTTGGATACGAGAAATTAAACTGGTACTAAAAAATTTAAAAATTCGGCCAAATACATTTTTCGATTCCTGTTCAAAATTCTCTTTCTCTTGGATGAATGAACAAATAACGGACAAATATTCTTGCATGATAAATGGATTTTTTATATTTGAAAATATATCTAAGATTTTAATAAAGATTTTTTTTGATAATTTATTACCTTTTTGTGAATGAAGAACAAAAATGGATAGAACTTGATCGCAAATAAGTGGATTTTTCAATGTTTCCTCTAATTTTAATGAAAGTTCAGTTGAAATATTTTGATTATTTTCAACTAAATTTTCAAAAATTTCAATTAAGTGATGTTGCACTTGATCAGGATCGAATATTATTACAAGTTTGTCAATTAACTCATCAGGTATTATTTGTCCATTATTTGAAACATTCAATAAAATTCTCAAGATTTCTTCTTTGAATACAGAGTGATTATCTCTTGCTTTACTTAGCCCTCTAAATCCATTAATTGTTAGTTTTTTACCCTCCTTTGTCTTTGTGTATAAATAAGAAATGGCATCATTACTGTCCGATAAGAATGATGTTAGGTTCCATCTAACTTGTTTTAATCTTCACTTGTATGTACAAATGTTTTATTAAGAAAGCAAGGGTTAATTGACAAACTTGTAATAATATTCGATCCTGATCAAGTGCAACATCA